AGGCAGGAGAATTGCCTGAACCCAGGAGGCGGAGGTTGCGGTGAGCCGAGATCGCGCCATTGCACTCCAGCCTGGGTAACAAAAGCGAAACTCCGTCTCAAAAAAAAAAAAATAATAATAATAATAATAATAATAAATAAGGTCAGGTGAGGTGGCTCCTAAAGTGCTGGGATTACTGGCGTGAGCCTCCGCGCCCGGCCCTACTCAGCTTTTAAAACCGGAATCAAGAGTCAGAACTTTTTGGTAAACCACGATGCTGTTTAGGTTATCAAATTCAATGCCTTCTTCCTCTGAAGTCCTGCAAATCTCCAGTAAAGCACCACAAACTGACGAATATTCCAGCTATTTCTCTCTCCAGTCCGCTAGCTCCATTTCCCAATAATATCCATCTTCTCGAGCTTCCTCAGCTCCTTCACCTTCATGAGGCCTGGAAAGCACCCGGCTCCAGGAATGTGAGTCGGAGGCTCAGAGCGACCCTAAGTGCCAAAAGCCGACGTTCAGACACTGCCGAAAACAAACCACAAAAGATCCAAGGCTCAGTGATGAAGGTAGGTAGCCGCGGGCCCGCAGGAGGTGCATGCCGGGAGATGCAGTCCCGAGCCGACGCGTTACCTCTTGGGAGTTGTAGTCTTTGATCTGGTAAACATAAAACGGTTTCTGTAGACACCTGAGAGAAAAAAAAAAAAAGTAAAAAGATAAAACGGCAACTCGGATAAGTCTTCCTCCCCGACCCCCTCAACCCACGCCCCACCCGCGAGGGACTGGGGTAGGAGTAGGGGCGTTGCCGTGGTTGGCCTCGAACTCCCAGGCTCAGGTGGTTCTCTCGCCTCTACGTCCCGAGTAGCTGGGACTACAGGCGTGAGTCACTGCGTCCGGCATAACGTTTGAATTAGTCCTCATGCAAAAAGGGAAGAGGGCGGTCCGTAACCTCGCGTAAGTTCGAGCTCTCGCGCTCCCGTCTTGCCCTGGGGCGCAGGGCTGAAGGGGTGAGAAGGCGGATCCAGGAGGCGGGGAGACGTTACGCCGACGCGGGCGTGACCCCCGGCCGAGAAGCTTTGGCGGGAATTCTGAAAGCTGCTGGCGGAGGGCAGACAGCAGCCAGAGACCGATCCCTAACGAGAGCGCAGCGCTTGCCGAGGCGCGCAGCTGGGAGCTGAAACTCGCCTGGGTTGTGCGCAGAAGGCTGGGGCAAGCGAGTAGAGAAGTGGGGCGCAACCTAGGGGCGTTGGGGTCCGCGCGGGTCGCGCGCGTGCTAGGCCCACAGGCTGAAGTTGGAGCGAGCAGCGCTGCGGGCCGAGGTGAGTGTGTGAGGCGCAGGCCGGGGCCTCCCCAGCCGCGGCTCGTGCTCGTCCACCTGGGTGCGAGCCGGCTCGCTGCTCAGCGGCGGCTGGTGGGGCCTTCGCGCGCAGTGCGAAACCTGGACGTGGCAGGGCGTGTCGGCGCCCGACCGACCCTCAGCTGCTGGGGCGAAAACACAGTGGACCCCAGGCTTTAGAGCTAGGGGAGAAACAGTAGAACCGTCATTGCCAACACCCATTTTATGGGCTTGGTCGAGGAGTCCGAGAGCAGAGCCGTGTAGCCACAGCTGTTTGATATCATCGCCAGGGCTTCCGGATTCCTGGTCTTTCCATTACAGCACGGTATAATGGAAAGTTGGAGGTTGCTTAGAAAGCACTCAACCTCCAATTGCCAAAAAAAAAAAAAAAAAAAAAAAGTCGTCATTTGATGCGGAAAACCATTTACGTGACGCCTAGAGAATGTTCTCAAGTGAGGTTTGGGTTTTTTGTTTTGTTTTGTTTTTGTTTGTGTTTTTTTGAGATGATGTCACCCTCTGTCGTCCAGGCTGGAGTGCAGTGGCCCGAGCACGGCCCACTGCAACCTCCGCCTCCTGGGTTCAAGCGCTTCTCCTGCCTCAGCCTCCCAAGTAGCTGGAATTACAGGCGCGCGCCACCACGCCCGGCTAATTTTTTGTATTTTTTGTAGAGACGGGGGTTCTCTATTGACCATGTTGGTCAAGTTGGTCTCGAACTCCTGACCTCAGGTTATCCATCCGCCTCGGCCTCCCAAAGTGCTGGGATTACATTGTGAGGCACTGCATACTGGTTTCTAATGCGATTATGTCTCTTGTTTTTGAATTTTATATACAAATATATCAGGAGTGTTATTGTTTCACATGGTTGCCAATACGATATTTTTCAGTCTTATTAAATTTTAACTCTTTTGCTGGGTACACAGTAATGTCTCATGATTTTGATTTCCCTGATTACTGAATTAGGTTGGGCATTTCTTCATGTGTTTTTGGCCATTTGGATATCTTCTGTGATGTGCTTGTTAAAATCTCTTGCCTCATTTTCTGTTGAATTGTCTTTTACTGATTTGAAGTTCTTTATATTCTGGTTATCAGGCCTCAGCGATGTTTGTGCTAAATGTTTTCTCCTCTGCTGCAGTTTGACTTACCATTCTCTTAGTAGTGTCCTTGGATGAATAGAGGTGCTGAATTTGAATGTAGTCAGGCCAGGCGCCATGGCTCATGCCTCCCAGCAGTTTGGGAGGCTGAGGTGGATGACCAGGTCGGGAATTCAAGACCAAGAACCCCAAAGGTGAAGGTTGCAGTGAGCCGAGATCGAGCCACTGCACTCCAGCCTGGACAATAGAGCCAGACTCTGTCTCAAAAAATAAATAAATAAATAAAATAAAAAATAAATGTAGTTCAGTTTTCAGCCTTTCCTCTTTGGCTAGTGCATTATATATTCAACTTCATGAAAACTTTTTCTGTCCCAAGGGTGTGAAAATATTATCCTATATTCTGAAAACTTTGATTTATCGCTTACATTTAGATTGGGTGGAATCTATTAATAAATGAGAAATTGATTTTTGTCTGTGGTATGAGAAAGGGACAAAGTTCATTTTTCTCTCTAAGGCTATTCAATCAACCCAGCACTACTTAAATTGAAAAAAACCATCCTTTCCCCATTATTCTGCAGTACTGTATTCATAAATTATGAAGGGAAATATTTAAATTGCACTGATGTGATTCTTGGCTGGGTGCAGTAGTGGCTCATGCCTGTAATCCCAGCACTTTGGGAGGCTGAGGTGGGTGGGTCACCTGAGGTCAGGAGTTCGAGACTAGCCTAGCCAACATAGTGAAACCCCATCTCTATTTTTT